TGATTTTTATTTCCATTCCTAGCACATGGACAGATGATGGTGAGGCAGTCAGGTTGTCTTCAGGGGTTGCTACATCTGTTCAGGTAACCAGATTAAACATCACATTAGTAACGCACTTTAATATGATATCTAAATATAAACCAAAAGCAAATTTGATTTTTTATCAAAGAAGGCAAAATTGATTGATAAGATGGGTTATTGTTTTTATTCTTCAGGAAGAGCATGCCAAGCACAGAAGATTATACATTTTCCTCATCAGTATCTGAAAGCTCATCGTTTAAGAACAAGAATGATGAACATTATAAAGACTTGTGGACAAGTGTTACTAGTGCTTTGTGTATATGTGTAAACAATCCACAAAATGGTCAGTGCATTTATTTCGCAGTGCTGTAGTAATAAAAAATTTTTAAAATATTTTACAAAATGAAACTTGTTGGGGTGCATGATGTCCTTTTGTACATTGCATTGGTGTTCATAGACATAAAAGCTACAATATCAAATGATGTCTTCAGAGATACATGACCCTTCTATACATGGATAAAATGTTTGATTATTACATTTAAAAATGAACATTACTGTAGGATGTTAGAAGTCTTGAATTTTACATGAAAAAATTCAAAGTAACTCAACTTTTTTATACAAATTATTTTCTATATTGCAGAAGAAAACCAGAGGTGTTGTGCAACTATCTTTCCATATATTTTTAAAAGATTGAAAAACATCAGTGATCTTAAAGTTATAAGGCCTATTTTGTCTCTTGTAAGCTTAGCTGTCGGAAACAATGGTAAGTTAAGTTAATATTTTAATTTTACTTCCAGATACCATACTGTACAGATGCATGTAGCACTATGAGTTTGATTGTACTTAATTCTGTTGACTAGCACCACTGATGCAACAGACTTGTGAAGATTCTTTTTTCTATAGCTACTTATATTTGGCTGGTAAGTGAGACAGAATTCTCCACAAAAATTTTAATTATTGGTTCAATATGCTATTAATTTATATATTTTATTGAATTTAATAAATTTCTTTAATATATTGCAGTTCATAACCAGGAAAGAGTAGTTTGTAGTGATGGGATCCACTCTCTTATGAGCTGTCTGTTTAAAGTTGCTGACAAGGCAAAGAACAATCCAACCTATTTGGCTCTAGCTGGTCAGATTGCAGGTGCTTTAGGTTCCTGTATTGCTGATAATGGTAGGGGTTTTATATTGTGTTCTTGCCCAGGAAACCATCAAATGGACTTCTGCATTGAAAATTGATATCCATATTTGATTAGAAATAATTAAATAATTTATCATTACAATGAGGGGATTTTAGGCAGTTTCACCCTGCAATGCTTTATTAATGTGATTCAGTTTGTTTGCTTGTATTAACTTTGATTAATAGTTGTCTTTGTTGGTTTCTATTTAGCTTTAAATGCTAAGCTGGTTGGGAAACAAGGTGGAGTAAAAATCTTCCTACAGCTCCTTGATATAAAGCCAATAGACATTGAAACAAAGGAACATATCATTGTGACTCTTGGTTTTTGTGTGGATACTTGTGGTAAACTCTCTCTCTCTCTCTCTCTCTCTCTCTCTCTCTCTCTCTCTCTGTGCTGTAGATGTAATTGTTGTATTGAAATTTAAAAGTTTTCTTGGTTTAAAATAGTAAACAAATGTGACTTGAAAAGAACATTTGTCGTAGCCTAGGCCTACTAAGATTCTTTTATTTAAAAAAATTCTACATGCATTTTTAATCAACATTTGTGAGAATTTTGTTTGCAGTGTGTGAATGGTGTGTGAAAGGTGTATTTGTCTCTTATTATGTTGTAAATGTCATGTATTGATTTTCGTGAATAAATAATTTAAGAAAAAAAATGTGACTTGATAAATTTGAAGCATGGATATTTTAGTTGTAATATTCAGGACCAGATATTTAAGTGTGAACTACTCATTTTATGTGAATTACAATGTGCTCAGTCTGTGTTTCAGAAGAGAACAGAAAGTTATTTGCTGAAGAAAATGGGTTTGCTGTTTTAGCACAACATCTGGTAAATGAAGAACAAGAAGATTTTAACAAAGCTGTAAAATTTGTTTTAAAGACATGTGTTTCAGCAGGTAAGAAAATGGTCATCTTTGTTTTATTTACATGTATGTTAATTTAGATAAGAATGTCAGTTTTGGGCCCCTAAAAATGAATAAAATGATCATTTCAGTTCATTTGCAGTCTCTTTCTGTACACTTCGATAACTTCAGGTGTTAAATGGAGAGGCCAATGCAAGGTTATCAACTGAATATTGAAGTCACTGGTGTTAAGCACACTCTGCTGTAACTCTCATCACAACAGATTACAATCCACTCTTGCAGAAAAATCCAGTTTACATAGACAGCATATACCAAACCCTATGAATATTGACCCCATTTATGTAAATGTCTATGCACATTGCCAAGACCCCATTTAAATAGTGTATTTGGTGTATTTTATTCATAAATTAAATCTGATTTATATTTCATAAATTCCATGTTTTTTCTTAATGAATGAATATTTGTGGGTTCCTGATTTGAATTATTTATGCAATGGTAATTGTTAGATTCTAGCAATCTGAAGTATGAAACGTACATCTGTGCCATATTTGATGATTCCTCATCGTCGTCTTCAGTGTGAAATGTCACTGGTCTGATGATAATTAGCCTTGTTTAACCTCAGATGACATAAGTCAATTACCACCAGACCATTAATTTTCTGTTATTTGTAACAAAAATAATGCATACATGTACTGTTGTATCAATTTTAACCAGGATCTTTTTAAAAGAAATGTACACATTAGGCTAGTGACAGAATTCTGTGTAAACTTTCCAGGAAGGGCATGACTTTTGAGGTATTTCCATTGATTATACTGTCACTTGCAAATGTAAGTGTCTTTCAGATCAGAAGAAACTGAATGCAACTTCAGGCAAGGCTTCAGATTTGTTTAATGCATTGATAAAACCTTGTATCCAATTTGATGATCTGGATGGTAATGCTGAACAGCGTAAAATGATACCATGTTCTGGGTATGTTGCATGAAAAACTTCTTATCTAGTAAAGAACATGTAAGAAAAAAAAACAGAATAGATAAAGTTCATATTGCCATTTCTATATCCATGTCATTTTTGTTGTATAAACATTGTATTATTGCACTGCACTGTTGAACCCATCAAAAAGAGAGAGCCAGTAGATAATCAGATAATCTTGACCCCTTTCAAATAATTTAATTCTGAAATAAAAGATAAAGATTGGCAGTATTAGACTGGGTTCCCATGCCTAGATCGATCCATCTGGATCGGTCTAACTCCCTGGGGAGCCTCACTAAATTGCTGTCAACTGCCTTAAATGTCTGTCACGCCTACCAAATCAGCTAGGGGGTTAAGATAATTACCCCCTAACAGTTTTACTAGGACATACCAGTCTGTTTTGCAGCTGTACGTACATTATGGAAAAGAAAGCGCTCAGTATTGTCATTTTTTTTTTTTTTTTTTTGGTCATCTCAGGGATCATTTACAGCAGACACACTAGAGAAATACTAAAATTGCTCTTTGCTGCAAATTTTAATGGGTGAAGAAAATGGGTTATTATGCGCTACCATCTTTTCCGTTTTCAACTTCAGTACAAAGTATGATCTCCCATACACGTGAACTAATTAAATAATTCAGTTTTGGAATTTAAATATACTGAAATACACTCTGCTTTTCATAAAACAACAAGGTGTATGGAAATCCTGTCATCTGAGCATGGTATCACAGATGTCATGACTCAGTCTTATTTCAATTCCTTCAGAAGCGCACGACTGTCACAGTGAAACCACAGATTCTGCCCAGGGACCTAGCATACATAGTGGACATTTCCATTGATTACATAATGACCCGGTTACATGAATATTTAATGAGACTAATTAAATATCTGGTTCCCACCTAATTTTGGCTTGTAAAGCATGAGAGACGATTTCATGTCATCACTGCTTAACCGCCGATTCAGGAGGGAAGCATGCTTTCCCAACTGTGTGCAGTTGAGTGTACTCTTCCCTGATAATTTTTTTATCATTCCAAATAGCTTGGTGCCTGTACAAAATTTTCAACCCAGAATCCAGGCATCATTGGGATAGATTTTTCAATAGAAATATGATTATGCCTCTGTACTTAATATAGTGTTCAGCAGGCGAAAAATTTAAATGAGCTGAGGCATTTTTTTTTTCCGGGTGTCATTTTTCACCTGTAATCAAGGCCTATAGGAGGCAGAATTCTTCTTTAGAATTTGGGGCATAAATCAATTATGCCTCGATCTGTACTTAAAATAATATTCAAGAGGCTGATTCCAAGCAGAAACCAAGTGGAAAGTAGATGGAATTTGAGGTGAAAAATTTAACTTAGTAACTGAGCAAGAATGAGAAGCAATTTTCCTTCTGGTTATGCCGGAACCTTTTGTACAGGTTATGCCAAGAATCAGCTTTTGTTAGCTGCTGTGCCTGAATACTTGTTTTATTTTTACATGTATATATCTGAAGTACCAGTAGCTGAAAATAAGCCACTAATCACTATGGCATATTGGGGGGTTTGCAGTTACATTTTCCAAAATTTACAAATATAAAGCAAAATGCGATGCATATTCTAAGCGGAAAGCATTCTCACAAGATCAGCCCTATGTTGAAATTTTGATGCCCAGCATCCATTGCTGTTAACCAGTATCGTGGACATGAAGATATATCTTTTCTAAAATAGTATATGGCAAGATTCCATCCCACCTTAAAAAGGGGAGAAAAGATGTTAATTATATTTTTCTCTCCTTTTAGGGTGGGATGAATCTTGCCATACTATTTTAGAAAAGATAAGCTAGTTTAAAATGATGAAAAAACATCAATCACATAAATCTTTTAATTTCTTTGACAAATGAAAGAAGATTGGAGATAGAAGTAGAAAAACTTGCCCAAAATCAGAAGTTACTAGAGCAGAAGCTTGAAGCTGTCTCATGTGTTCAGGCAAGTGAAACAGCTGTTGAGAAGCAACTGCCATCCTTTACACCAAACAAAGAAATTGCTGTGATGGAGACAGAAGATAAAAGGCTATTGAAAGAGGTATAGTATACCGGGCAACTGAATGCAAGCCATAATTTGCATTCTTCTTCTCCTGCATGAAGTAAGGAGTGTTTGACATGCTGGAGTCATGTCAGCCTGTCTATCTGTGCTGCAATTTGTCTATCAAGGTGTTGCCAAACAAATTTCAAAGGGTTTGAACTCCCAAGACGAGAGTACGTTGTGCTTATTCAATGCACACTAAAATCGGCTGAATTGAGGTCAAAGTAAACTGAGGATCTGTGTTTAATTTAATGGCCACATTTTGGAAGAAACCCAAAGTATGTAATTACTCCGTTCACATTTTATTTTAAGTGTATTTGCATGAAAAAGACAAAAGTTATCAGTGAATTCAAAGTACTTTTGACTTTGGAGTTCACCCCTACCCCACCTCCCCTTGAACTCAACTTTGCCCTGCTACCTTTTCACCACCAGCAAAAGTAGAGGTTGGGGGATAATTACTGATATTAAGTGATCTTTCACAAATTGGCATTTTATAGATGTGAGCTTTGAATTCCTATGGCCAATGAGGCCCAGTGCCTGCAGTGGTAGTTACATTTTCTGATGAAAATTACTAATTTTAATGACATTCTTAAGCTAGACAGAAAAAAAAATCTAAGTTTAATATGTTTGTTAATGAATGATTGTTTTATTTTATTTTATTATTATGCACATTTTGCCCATGCAGAGGAGTCTGAGCTCCTGGAGTATTCTTCATTTTAAACTGTTTTGGCATGTTTAAGATCTTATATATTTTTCTTTTTTTTTTTAATATGAAAAGCTCTCATTTCAGTCAGGTGCTGGTTACTACAGCAAAAACTTACAATACGAGAAGAAAGAAAAGATGAAATGGAAAAAAATGAGGAAAACTTTGGCTCTAACGCACCACTTGACAAAACTGAGGTGTCTCTACAGAAATCCATCAGGCAACCTAATCTTGAACAAGAAAAAAGCACTGACACTCCTGAAAATTGCAGTGTACACAAAAAACAACTTACAAAATGTAATGGTGAGGAGGAAGCCATAAGGTGTAACCTAACTGACCACACAGGAACATGTTTCAGTACAGTTGATCGTGCATCATCCCTACCTGTTATTTGTTCTAACATTGAGAGAATGCCTGTTGTTGAGATCAATCAAGGTGTTGAGTTTGCTAAACCTAAAATAGTTGTGAATAAAAAGAAGTCTTATTCATCTACAACTAAGTTCGTCAGACCTACTGCGGTAGTGAAGGAAAAGGAATCTGTCTCATCTAAAAGCAGCACATTGTGTCACACTGTGAAGAGAGCATTGCTGCCAACAAACGCAATTAGAGATTTCCCATCAGACCCATTTAGGAAGACATATGGCTGTTACACAGGACCAGTGAGACTTGTTGAAGCAAATAATTTAGGTTTGGGGATGGAATCGGCTGAAAGCAGTGAGCCTAGAAGATTTCCTCCACAGACTGTCCAGGAGGATGTGTGTGTTACACCAGTAAATCAGAGATGGACTCATAAAGAGAACATTCATCCTAAGCAACATTACACTGTAGCAGACAGAGAAGATACAAGTGTGACACCAGTCAAACAAAGAAAAATGCAGGGAAAGAGAGAGGGTATTTGCATTACACCAGTGCAACAAGGGTGGTCATATAACCGGGAATATTGCTTTACAGCCCCCACAGAGAGTAAGAGGCACTTGAATTTTCAAGATTCAATAATAGAAAGCTCTAATCTGCATGGAGAGAAAGTGGAAGATTCTGCATCAGAATTTGATTGCAACCTGGTCAAACAGGCTGAAAAGCCAAACCATGATCCCAGTAAATTGCAAGAAAATGTGCCCAAGATTACAAGACCACTTACAAGGCCAGTAAAATGTAAACATTCAACTGACACATGTTTTGTGGTATACGGTAATGTGCCAAGCATTTCGACGGGCCCAGTCAATCCGACCAAAAAAATTATATTATAAAATTAATTTTTCTGGGCTCAAACATTTAGTCCATACGTCAAAATCATGCGACAGAATTTTTTTCTTGTTCCGATTGTTCGACCACATCGTCGGCAAGACTCGGTAAATTTTCAAGCCAGTCATTTAGATGCTGCATGCCGGGCCCTTTGTCAATTATTGTCCTTTCAATAGCTCTCGTCAATGAGGAAGAAACTATTAATTGAAGATCTAATCTGGAAGCATGACGTACCTGTCATTTCCTTTGTCCCCGATGACAAAATAGTGTTATAGACATACAGTTTGTGCTAATTAAGCAGACTTGCCCTCGCTGACTGATTCATCACGCCCGTAACTGGGGAAGGGGGGGGNTTTAGGAAGACATATGGTTGTTACACAGGACCAGTGAGACTTGTTGAAGCAAATAATTTAGGTTTGGGGATGGAATCGGCTGAAAGCAGTGAGCCTAGAAGATTTCCTCCACAGACTGTCCAGGAGGATGTGTGTGTTACACCAGTAAATCGAAGATGGACTCATAAAGAGAACATTCATCCTGAGCAACATTACACTGTAGCAGACAGAGAAGATACAAGTGTGACACCAGTCAAACAAAGAAAAATGCAGGGAAAGAGAGAGGGTATTTGCATTACACCAGTGCAACAACGGTGGTCATATAACCGGGAATATTGCTTTACAGCCCCCACAGAGAGTAAGAGGTACTTGAATTTTCAAGATTCAATAATAGAAAGCTCTAATCTGCATGGAGAGAAAGTGGAAGATTCTGCATCAGAATTTGATTGCAACCTGGTCAAACAGGCTGAAAAGCCAAACCATGATCCCAGTAAATTGCAAGAAAATGTGCCCAAGATTACAAGACCACTTACAAGGCCAGTAAAATGTAAACATTCAACTGACACATGTTTTGTGGTATATTATGATGAAGACTCAAACCACTCTGCACCTGAGCAAAATGAAAAATGTATGTGATTGATGTTGATACTTATGTTGATAAAAGAATCAATTTGTATAATTTCTGATTTGTTCACTAGCAATATGTGATTTTGCTATATTATTTTGAGAATTTGTATTACTGTAGAGCACATTTAAATTCTGTTCTATAATATTAGTTTTATACATATAAATTATTGTGCAAATATTAATTAATTAATTAATTAATTTTTAATTAATTTTATTTTATTTTGTTTTTCACATGTAGATCATTGGAAGAATACTGCAGACAAGAGCTGTTCTAAATGCCCAGGTAAGAAACACTTATTGTACCACCAGCGCAGCTCTGGTGGTACACATAGTTTTTGTCCCTACTCGTACAGTCTGCCGTATCCACCGGCTCCGCTACCACATCACCATTAACGCTTCTCCTCCTAGACTACAAAGCCCTGTTTACCTATCTCTTGGATTTAGGTCACATATAATCTCAACTTGCTCCATGTAAATTTGGGCTTTGTCAGTGCATCGGTCTAGGTGTGGCAGTCGTCACAATGCACCTCTGTCCGAAATTTGCAATTAAATGCTAAATACCTCCAAAACCAAGGAATTATGGGGGAAATTACTATAGATTGCAAATATGCCCTTGAATTAGACCTTTGACCTTTATTTTAGGGTTAAATGGGCCAAAATTTTCTGAAAAAAAGGAATTCTTTGCAAAAAAAATTTATTTGTGACAATTTTTAGAAACTACACAGACCTAGGCTCTCATATTACAGTGAGAGGTAACAATTAGGGACTTCTTTAATCTTCAGGGGTTTGGGGTCAATCAGTGCATTTTAACAAGGAGAAGCAGCCATCAAATGTCAAAACTTAAATCTCTCTAATTTTGACACCATAAATAGTAGACCTCTTGTTTGCTGTATTTTGTAGAGCTTTTCAAGCGCAATACTGGAGGTGGTGTCCATTTCTTTCCCATACAGTTTACAAACTGTTCTATATTTAAAAATATGTCGCAATATTCAGTGCTGAAAATAAAATTACACCCATAGTTACTATTGAACATGAATGGGAAATCATATTCTGACAATGTAACTGTGACTTTGAAATTGACCTTTGAACTACTTTTCACCACGAACTGCACTTTGCAAGTTTTCTAGTCCTTATGTCTCCAAAACTGGCAGAGATACACCTACATGTATAATTAGTTGAATAGAAACTCATATACTGGGAACCTAACTGTGACCTCGAAATTAACCTTTGACCTACTTTTCACCATGAACTGAACTTTGCAAATTTTCATCCCTTATATCTCCAAAATTGACAGAGATATGCCCATAGTTACATTGAACTTGAGTAGGAGTCATATACTTGCTATCTATCTGTGACCCTGAAAATGACCTTAACATACTGTACTTTTCAGCATGAACTAAACTTTGCAACTTTCCTATGCCTTATATCTCCAAAACTGGCAAAGATACACCCATAGTTACTATTGAACTTGAATAGAAAATCACATATTGTTGTATAAGAAACTACTAGTGTTTTATTTGTGACCTTGAAATTGACCTTGACTTACTTTTCACTTTGAATTGAAATTTGCAATTTTCTTGTCCCTTATAAAACTGGCATAGATAGATTTTACCTTTTACTTATCCCCATGATTAAGTTATAAATTTTTCTTTTTCGACAAAAAATTGAGAACTCTTGTTGCCTGCATTTTGTAGAGCTTGTCAAGCACAACACTGAAGGCGTTTACTCCAGTTGGTGGTACAATACCCCGATGCGGTTTCACCTCATTTGAGTTGTATAAGAAACTAGTAGTGTTTTATATGCATTTTAGGGAATCCATACTTGCTTCAATCAAATGTAACTTTAATCATTATACACTTTTATGAATCCTTTTAAAATGCGTGTACATGTAGTCATGCAGAAAGAGAGTTTTGAATGATACTTTTCTTTAGGTTGTCAGACACCAGAAGTAATTGGATGCCCTGTGCTGAATAGTAAAACATTCAACATTGCACTGGAGACAAGTCAGTATGCTTGTGTCAAGCACAGGCTACTGAGAAATGTGGAACGGCATCATTTATCAGTGGCAAAGAAGAAACAAACATGGAAAAAAATACCAAGACAACCTTTGTCAGAGTTCAGTGAACCTGGAAATAAGAGCATACATGTATATGACTTTCTGAGTTCAGAAACAGAGGATGATTTAGGGAAAAAGGTGAGTTTGAAATATTATTTCTACATCTATGATCATA